CTTTCTGTCTCTCTCTGTCTGTCTGGCGAGTGCACGCGCTCTATAGCAAAAAAAATCTCTCCAAAAAAAAAAAGAAACCTCAATTGAAATTTCTGTGGTTCATCTGTACAAACTCTTTTAGGCAGTTACCACAAAATTAGCACTGGTCAAAATTACTTCAGGCTATTGTGTCATCCCCAGCCAGTATTCTGTGATTCAGAGTGAATGAAATGGGAGGAACGTGTGGTGCCAGAGACTTTATAGGTGCTCCGGCAACTCCCACAGTCAGAAACATGGGGAATCCTCATCAAAATTCCCAATTTTATCTTTCTGCCATTTTGGGGACATTCTTTTTTGTTTTGTTTTGTTTTGTTTTGTTTTGTTAACAGCACAAAGAAAGCCTAAAAGCTTAGGCTGATTTATTTCCTCAAAGGGAGAAATCAGAAGCCCAACATGCGGTTGTCCTGAACCAAAGCACCAGCAGCTCCTCACCACTCTGTAACACCATTTCTCTACTCAGTCAGCAGATTCTCGATCCTGCAGGCAACAGGATACAACACAGAGCCCTGGCCTATATGGAGATCATACAAAGAAGAGAGCAAACAAATACATAATACCACTTTAGAATTTATAGAATGTTAAAAATATATTATAGCACCCATCTTTTACATTGCTGAGAATACAATATATTTTTCCCTTTCTGCAAGTGAGGTCTAGCTAAAAGAGAGGAGAATGGAGGAGAAGGGATTGCGGCATGACCATCCCCTCTGGGGGGTGATTTCTCGCTTTCTGTCTCTCTCTGTCTGTCTGGCGAGTGCACGCGCTCTATAGCAAAAAAAATCTCTCCAAAAAAAAAAAGAAACCTCAATTGAAATTTCTGTGGTTCATCTGTACAAACTCTTTTAGGCAGTTACCACAAAATTAGCACTGGTCAAAATTACTTCAGGCTATTGTGTCATCCCCAGCCAGTATTCTGTGATTCAGAGTGAATGAAATGGGAGGAACGTGTGGTGCCAGAGACTTTATAGGTGCTCCGGCAACTCCCACAGTCAGAAACATGGGGAATCCTCATCAAAATTCCCAATTTTATCTTTCTGCCATTTTGGGGACATTCTTTGTTTTGTTTTGTTTTGTTTTGTTTTGTTTTGTTAACAGCACAAAGAAAGCCTAAAAGCTTAGGCTGATTTATTTCCTCAAAGGGAGAAATCAGAAGCCCAACATGCGGTTGTCCTGAACCAAAGCACCAGCAGCTCCTCACCACTCTGTAACACCATTTCTCTACTCAGTCAGCAGATTCTCGATCCTGCAGGCAACAGGATACAACACAGAGCCCTGGCCTATATGGAGATCATACAAAGAAGAGAGCAAACAAATACATAATACCACTTTAGAATTTATAGAATGTTTAAAATATATTATAGCACCCATCTTTTACATTGCTGAGAATACAATATATTTTTCCCTTTCTGCAAGTGAGGTCTAGCTAAAAGATCTGCAAGGACAGAAACCATATCTGCCTGTTCACCTGTATGTGCTAAGGTTTAGGACCCTAAATATATTTCGGTGCTTCAGTGAGAGAAAAGGGGCCAAAGGAAACCTCGATTTTATTGGGTTCATAAAGCACTGATAACATCTCTTTGGAACACCATCATATGGAAATATATCAAGTCTCAGGGGCAAAAAGAAAAGTTGTATGTGATGAAAAATGAAAATATTAGGTGTTCTGGATAATTAGGAAAGAAACATCACTTTAAGAACTATATATCTGAAAACTTAAACCAGATATTTTAGCATGAAGCTACTCTGTGGACTAAATATAGACTCTTTCTCATCATACCGTAGTAATAGGATAAAAGGATTCAAACCTTGTCCACAGTTTCTAAGGGGAGTAAATTCTGGACCAGTCTGATCTACTCATTGCTCTAGTAAAAACAATTCCATGCCTTCTTTTTGCTTCAAAATGAGGCACAGATGCTAACAAGACTTAAAGGTAACTCCTGGGCTTTCTTCTGCCTCTCTCTCCAGTCTTATCTTTCACCTTTTCCACAAGTTAAAGTGTGCTCCGAGAGCATCCATCTCTTTCATAGGTGCACATTCTCCTTTGAGGTTTTCTGTGTCCAGTGTCCTTTCCCTGTAATCTTCCTTCTTCTCTTCCCTCCTCCCTCCCCATTTATTAGCCTACTCAAATTCCAGCCTTGACTTAAATGCCATTGCCTCCAGACCTGAATCTCCAAGTCCCGGGCAGGTGGACTCATGGACCACCCCAATGGTGGCTCTTGCCATCCCACACTGTACTGCCACAGTTGCTTGCTGTGCCTCCTGCTATGTGCAAGCTCTGTGAGAGAAAGACCAAGTCTGTTATTCACTTAAGGGTCGTTATAGTGCCTAGGCAGACTAGCAAGCCATAAATCTCTTAAGTAAGGGGATAAAATTATTTAACTTCTGCAAGACTCAGTTTCCCAAATGTGAAAGGATGCTAACACTGTCTACATCATAGGGCTGTTGTAAGGATTATACTGAGTGACGATGTAAGCAAAGCATATGGTGCCTTGTACAGAGCATGTGCCAGAGGGTCAGATCCATAGGCTAGTGGTTAGGTAAGCTGAATCCCACTTTCTTGATGTTAGTTTGAATCCCAGCCCTGACAGCTTGCAAAATACACTGGGTGCAGGTGCATGCATGACCAAAAGTCCCAATAGGATGAACAAATGGAGAAGAAGGAATTGTAGTGTGAGTACACCTTTCACTGAGGGGCTCTTTTTCTCCTCATCTAACCCTTGTCTCTCTCTGCAAGCACATGCATCCTCTGGAAATTAAAAATGAAAAATAAAATAAAGTAATAAAGTAAAAAGAGTATGTGTCAGATAAATAACTTCCATTATCTTTATGCCAATTCTAGAATTCTTATTCCTGCCCACTATAAGAAGTTTTTCTATATTTTTCTTAAAGTGCTCATGACTGCAAAGCATGTGTAGACTATCATCCCTATTGATAGATTATTCAACATGACTATCAGTTGAGTACAGACACTTAATTTTCAGAGAGTCTTTCTGCTT